GACGGGCGGCTTCACACGGGCATAGCCCACTACTTGGGTGGAATGTAAGGGCTTACAGTCTTGAAATAACACAGCGGGGCAGAGACGGAAAGGGAGGGAGAGGGCAGGTTACCCCCCCAGCGCAGGGGAAGGAGGGCGGCGGGGCGCTGCGCCCCGGGAGGCAGCCCGGGCCCTGGAGCAGAGGCATTCCCCGGCATCCCCTTCTCTCTCCCCGCTCCCGCTGCACCCAGGGCTGGCAACGCCAACCCGCAGGCACCACGACGCTGCCTTAAAACGCACAAGCAAATTAGCTGAAGTACAAAAGGAAAAGCGAGGCGCAAGCCCTGGCTCTCTAGTTCCCTGTCAAGTCACCCTGAAGCAAAACGATGGAGGGTGATCTCAGCCCCTTCCTTTCCCGGGATATGATCAAACACCACCAAAGTCCTGAGCCAGAAGCAAACGCGGGAAGGGCAGCACAACCACGGTTTGCGATTTAGACTCGTACCAGGTCTCCACCTGCTCTGATTATCCTTTTAAACTAATAACCCCCGTGTTGTTTATCCATGTCTGTATCTGTTGCCAGATTTCCCTGTGGTCCCTCTTGGTGACTCTGGTGACCCTGTTCATCCTGACTGGGACCATGCTGGGCCCGGATCTGATGGCACATATTCCTGCATCTGTCTACGCCATTGCGGTGCTGATGCCTCTGGCGGGGTATGCCTTGGGATATGGCTTAGCCACGGTCTTTAAAATGCCCCCGCACTGCAGGAGAACAGTGTCTTTGGAAACAGGGTGCCAAAACGTCCAGCTCTGCACCGCCATCCTAAAGCTCACCTTCCCCCCAGAGCTGATAGGGAGCATGTACATGTTTCCCTTGCTTTACGCACTTTTTCAGTCAGCAGAAGCAGGACTCTTTGTGCTGATATACAAGATGTGTGGGAAAGACAGCTACAAGCAAGATCCGCTCGGTGAAGAGGAAGACACAGATATTTCCTACAGGAAGCTGAAGGAAGAGGAGGTGGCCGATACTTCATACGGCACAGTGGCCACAGAGGAACAGAACTCCGTTCAGATGGAGCCGACGCAGACGGTGCTTTAGGCGAGATGAGGAGGCAACACCCGGGGCTGTGTGGTGTGTGTTGTGCTTGCAACCAGGCCGGGGCTGCGCTCGCCACTGCACAAGCGGAGCCGCCCGGCCTCCATCATTTCTCCAGCCACTCCCATTGTACAAGGTGATGTGTGTTTATTACTGTGACAGTTGTATTTCCTCAAAAACACTTATGAAAAAAATTTTAAAGAGCAAAGAAGTATCACTGCAACGCAAATAACCATACGTCTTCAGGCAAGGAGGCTGCTGCCCACCCGAGCGCAGCAGGAGTGGGTAGGAGGAAAGGAGACCGGCGTTTTGCAGAGGCGAAGCCAACGCGGCGCTGTGCCAGTGCGGACGAACGGGCAAACCACCCACCTTGCGCGCGCGTGCCTCCGTGCCTCCCGCCCGCTGTAAAAGCATCGTGCTCGTTGTTCTCACCGCAAATACATGGCGAAGCTGAACCAAACCCGTGTTCCCCGCTGATTAATCCCGCGGGGGTGATTTAAGGGCCAAGCTCTCTGGTCGCCCCGGGGAGCCGGGCTGGGGTTGGAGGGAGGATGCCCGGCGAGGACGGGAAGGGGCCGCCAAGGCCGGGGCCCGTCGGGGGCG